TGTCAAGCTGTGATCGGCCAAAAAAGGTGGAGATTGCGGGAGAAACACTTGGGTTTAAAAATGACAGCTGGGCGGAGTTAGGATTCAAAAGTGAACGAAAGCCCAAACTGGTTTTGGTTGCAATGAGCTAGGAACTCGGGCACACACTCGGTGGGACCGTCCCAAATAATCACCAGTTTGGGCTTTCGTTCACTTTTGAATCCAACAGGAGCAAACTGGTGTTTCTTGATCTCAAGTTGTCCTCTAACGGGCTTGACATTGTTACCAACAACTATGTCAAGCCCACTGGAGGTAACTCATACCTTCACTATAAGAGCTGCCACCACCCAAGGTGGAAGAAAAATATACCCAAGAGTCAATTTTGTAGACTTAGGAGGAATTGTACCAAAACCAGCGATTATGTGACATCCAGCCAACTACTCCTCAACAAATTTAGAGAAAAGGATTACCCCGAGGAACTCATCATGGAGGCTCGCAGCGCTCGGTGACAGAGGCAGATCACTCACCAGAATCCTGGACCCTCCAGGGCTGTATTCACCCAGACACCAAACCGGACGTCTTCCCGCAGATAACCTCTGAAATGTGAGTCCTCCGGTGTATTTCAATACAGTTGTAGCGCTCTCAATACATTCTTCACAATTGGCCATAGGCGACGCTTTAAAAGCTTTTACAGCTCATCAGTTTCGTGTTATCAGTGATTAGTGGCCCTAAAATGATTACTCTCACTGCGATGTTCGCTGCGATATGTGACATGTGCGGCGTAATAGGCGCAATCGTCGTTTTCACAGGTATGCTCACCCGACGCATGCTTACATGCGTGTATGTAGGGGTGGGGACTTTTTAAAAAATTGTTTTTTTTTAATTCTTTTTTATGTGTAACTTTAAAAAAAATTGGGGAAACTACATTTTTTTCCTATTTTTGTTTCCACTTAACTTTATTGCTATCACAGAGGGGGCTAAGAAACCCCTATATGTGATTGCAAAAGAAGTGACAGGTCCTCTTTATGGAGACATCAGGGGTCTCCTAGGACCCCCCTGAAGAAGCTGATGAAGCAGAGATCTGCTTCATCAGTTTCTCTCCAGCATCTGAAGCTGGAGAGTGACACAAGAATGCGGAAGTGATGTAATATACACCACTTCCGCATTCTGACAGCGGATAGGGGACCGGAGGGAGATCGTGACCCGACCTCCCTCTAATCCCCTGTCAGAGAGCCACTATGCTGGTCCCGGCCACAGCGGAGCCCGGGATCAGCGTGACAGCGGGAGCTGCGGGTGGGGGGGGGGCGCACATACCGTGACCCCATACAAGCGATCCGCCGGCTCCATAGCCGGCGGATCGCTTGTATGTTAACAGGCATCGCTGCCGGTTTTTAAATTATGTGTCTTTCCCGCTCGCGCGCACGAGTGGGCGGGACTGACAGGACGTGTATACATGCCCAGTTACATCCAAGAAGGTAGTTAAGCTCAAAATTGGCTTTCAGGTGTGTTCCAGTGTGTTCTAGTGTGTTTGCATGCATTTTTGATGCATTTCCATGTGTTCTAGTGCATTCCAGACCAGATAAAAAAATTTGTCTGGACCAGAACGGACTGTGCTGGTGTGAACAGAGTCCAGAAATACCATAGGGATACATTGGGATGATTTTTTGCTCCGGAAACAAACTCTTCTGGTCTGGACATGGTGTGAAAAAGCCTTGAATTAATATCAGCATTAGGGTTTTACCCCTTATCCTTGATTGTACAGATATATTATAGAGCTGTGAAAGTGACTTTCACCAAACATTCAATGGTAATTAATTAATCACCGTCATTTAAAAACACATGCACGAGAAAGATTCACCTGTGGCAAATGTTTGGGAAATTTCAGATTCATTGATTTCTAAATATGCCTCATAATGTTAATGAAAGTGTTTCTAAACCTCACAACGACAATGTAATATATTAACCTCCTGCCGTCCGCCCGTTAAGAAAAAACGGACGGACGGCGGACTCGCATCAGCGGGTTGCCGTCTCCAGACGGCATTTTTTTCCTACTCGCGCGTGCTAGGGGGGAAAGACCCGCTCATTTTTACAGCCATTAACGGCTGTTTCACATACAACCGATCAGCGGCACTATAGCCGCCGATCAGTTGTATGGCGCGATTTTGTCTACCTTCCCCCCCCTCGAGTGCCACCGCCCCCCTCCTGACCCCTCACCTTCAATCCTGGGATCCGCTACCCCATCTGCGGCCCGGGATCGGCTCGGGAGGGCGTCAGGAGGAAGAGGGAGGGATATCAGCTCCTTGCTGAACTCCCTCTATGCTGTGAATGCAGAAGTGATATTTATATATATATAAATAAAACAAGTAAAAAAATAAGTCACAAATAAAAAAAGTAAAACAACCCCCCAAGATGTTTAAGTCCACCCCTTTGTTTACGCACATATAAACGTAAATGTGCGTCAGATGTGTCAGCGCACGAAAACGACATTTGCGCTACACATGTTACACATCGCCGCCAACTTCGGATGAGAGCAATCATTTTAGGGCCATCAATCACTGATAACACTAAACTGATGAGCGGTAAAAGCTTTTAAAGCATCGCTCATGGCCAATTTTAGGTAATGTAGTTTTTTGATTTTTCACGCGCGTGTGCAATTTTAAGGCTTGGCATGTTTGGTGCCTTTTTACCCGACGTGATCCCCTCTTTTATATTTTACCAAAAAATTGGGTAATAATAAATGTTTTAGAATTTAATATAGGGGAAACAGTTTTTTGTTTTTTTTAAATAACAGGTTTTTTTTTTTTATTCTGTAAATTTTCCTTAATATAATAAAAAATAAAAACCGCAGTGGTGATTAAATACCACCAAAAGAAAGCTCTATCTGTCCCCCAAAAAATGGTATACAATTTATTTTAGTACAGCGTTGCATGACGGAATAAATGTCAGTCAAAGTACCGCAGCGCTGAATACTGAAAAATGGCCTGGATGGGAAGGGGGTTTAACACACCGGACTTCAAGTGGTTAAAGCTTACCAGTCCTGCATTTTTTGTTTTTTGTTTCCTTTTATTAATACCTGGTAATCCTGCAAAAAACACACCTCCATCCTGAGGTGGCTACACTCACTCCTCAAAACAAAAATGTCTGTAAATATCCTTTAACCGCTTTAAGCTCTTTAAGCTCTTACATCTGTAAACCTCTTATGGACCAACACAATTTTATTATTTTAGTTATGGGTCTGTTGATTCTATAACTTTGTCATTATTTAATTGATTCATCTCCAGTGAATGTTTGGTGAAAGTCACATTCACTGCTTTATAAATATGCCCCAAGGGTTTATGTAACTACAAAGTGCACCTAGTATTCTTTAATTTGTCTAATTTATAATGTCACTGAAATAATGTTTCTATTACTTCAATTGCAATTTTTTAAAATGCGTTACTAATGATACATTTCAAAGATGAAAAATTAGGTTTCAATATTAAAGGTAAAAAAAAATAGAAAAAAACCAGCAGCCAAATAGTAGCTCGGGAGTGAAAGGTCCCAGTTCTGATTAGTGTTCGCTAAGGGGGTTATTCACAATGGAGCCGAAAGATACAGCCATAGCTTCCGCTGATCCTTCAGCTCTCTTCGGCCGATGGGGCCCTTTGGTTCAGTCGAACCAAAGGGCTCCTGTACGAGCTATTCACTATTGCCCGTACAGCTGCCGAAGATAGCCGAGCGGCTCACCGGAGCCGAAGGCATATGCTTCGGCTCGACTGAGCGGAAGTGACAGCCGAAGCGTGGCGAAAGGTCGGCCGAAGCTGACCGATCTCAATGCAGATGACACAGCTGTGATCTCACGGCTGGCTCCACCCAGTTGTAACAACAGATCAGCGTCCCCAAATGACCTGGGGATGCTGATCTGTCATTAAACAATAACAACTGGGCAGAGCCGGCGGTGACGTCTCGGCGGGCTCCAACCAGTTATTCGTTGACCAGGACCTGTTAGTAGACTCTGGCAGGTGCTGGCCAATAGGAAACAGTTGGTAACTCCGCCCAATTGTTTTTCTTTTTTTTCTTATTTTTTCTTTAAAATATATATTTTTTTTTTCCTATTTATTTACATTTTACAAATAATTTTTCAACTCTTTTTTTTCATTCTTGACACTTATTTTCTATTCTGCTTGGTACCTCTGCAGCATTCGGCTTTTCACTCACTGCTGTTCGGCCCCTAAGAGCTTCTGCTCAGCCGATCCAACATCTGGTGCACTTCGGCTTAACTGAACATGCAGACCATGTATCAGCCGTACTGAGCCGTAGTGAAAAGCCGAACGTTGTTCGGCTCACTTCACTTCGGCTGGGTTATTTACTCGGCTGCCTTTAGCTGCTTTGTGAATAACCCCCTAAGTGTTACTAAGGCTTTAAATTAAACCAGTTTATTTTTTATTTGTTTGCTTGCAGGAATTCTTTAATCGATGTCAGTTGAAGATCAAAAGTCATTCCTTTGATCTGCTATGAATGAACCCAGGAGGTTACAATGAAGCAATAATAACATTGTTTTATCGGAATGCTAACCGCAAACACTGTTCTGCTAGTGTTAATTTATGCAGAAGCAGCAAGATTTGCTTCTGTGATACTAAACAAATGCCAGCTATCATTTCAAGTTGTTAGTAAATGGCCCCAGAGAGCAGCGGATAAGGAGGAGGGACTGGGTACTACACATGTCCAAAGTATTATGTTTTTTTTCCATAACTGGTTGACTGAATAGCGAACTGCATGATATGCAATATTTAATATTTATCTAACAAAACTTTTTTTTAGGTTTTATTTTTTTGGACAAAAATGTTTTTTTGAATACAGAAAGAATATGTGTGCAACTATGCATTCTACAAACAACTATGCATTCCCTATAACATGATGTTGTTGTTTTTTGCTGAGAACGCTTATAAAAAAACAGTAGTACAAGAAAGTTTAGACTTAAGCTGCAATAAGAGATTTAGACTTGAGCTCTTGTTTAAATGATTCTTGTTTGTGTTTTACAGTCCAGTTTTTAAAAGAAGTCCAGATATCACAAAATCGCCTTTAACGAAATCCGAACAGCTTCTCCGAATAGATGACCATGACTTCACCATGAGACCTGGCTTTGGAGGTACGTCAGTTTTGAGTGATCTTCTGAAATCTGAAAAATATTAAAACACACAGATAAGGAGTAGTAGAACTTAGACGATATTATGATGCATGGAAATATAAAGGCAGATACCCAATCAAATGTGGACTTTGAAATTATACACTTAGAAGTATACCCAGATTATGGTGAGGTAGAGTTAAAGAAACTATAAAGCCCACCACTAAACCAGTGCAAAGCACAGTGGAGCATCCTTAAAACAGAAGGTATTTACATGCCATCTTAATCTGAAAAACAAGGAGTTTATCCAATTTCAAGATAGTTGTAAATCATTCCTTTATGTCGAGTTATTGAGCCATTTAGTCCAAATTGCATACAGCTGTTTCAGGCTCTGCAAGGGTTTGTGCAGTCATCTTATTACGATTCCTCTGCATGATCATACATACCATTTATAAATTATGTCTTTATATGTGTCTAAGGGCCCATTCACACCAGGAGTATTGGGGCTGCGTTGGCCGCTTTTTTCCAGCACAGTCCCAACACATAGACAAGGCAATTTGCCGTGTTATAAATGGACACAGTTCACACCAACATAATTGTGTGCTGAAAAACAGTATGGCATGCTGTACATTTTTCAAAACAGTGTGGTGGGACGCAGTACAGCCACACCGCACTGCGCTGTGCCGATAGATTTGAATGAAATGTCATTGGTGACATTTCAATAAAGTTTGGTGCGTCAGCAGGGGATCAGCAGGAATCGGTGCATCAGCAATGCACACCAACAGCCGTGTGTTTAGTGCAGCTTGGTGGCATGAAAGGGCCCTTAGTATACCTCATGTTGCAAACACCGTTCTTATGTGATTTTTCTGTATTTCAGGATGAATACACATTGCTAAACAGTGAAATTAGTAACAAAGGGATATGGATTCACATGCCTTGCATGACCCCTTAATTGCACAATCTAAACAATATTTATGGGAGGTTCTGGAGTGTAGAATGTAAAGCAGATTCCCACCTTCACCCTACTTGAAACTGTAGGTCCTGCTTTTTCATGAAGTATAATGTAAACCCCCACTACACACAGGGTTGATTTACTGAAGTAAAATCGGCTGTTCACTTAACAAGGTGAATATTCACCTAGTTTAGTAAATAAGGTGAATGTATGTCCACCTCAACCATCTAACCATATGCAAGCAGAAATTCAGTCTTTTTTTTGCACATACTTGGGTATTCAAAGTAAACATCTTATTCTTCTATACCTCATTCTATAGCTTCAACTTATTTACCAAGCTAAATGAACATTCACTTTGAACATGCTCTACTTCTTAAGTAAATCAACCCCACAGCTTAGGACTTGTATGATAACATTACAAGGAGCAATGCATCTGTTCTTTAACTGTATGTGAACCATGACAATTAACTTCTCCTATTTGCTCCTTTAAGCTCTGTTAAATATATCACTAAAAGCATTTGTTTTGTCTTTTTAATAAGTGCCAAAAAAATTACCTGCTGATCCTGCCAGAAATCTTGAGGGCTCCTAACTTCCTGTGTACTCTGCCTCTGCTGCACTGTTATCAGTTTCAATTGTTATATATATATTGTGCAGGTGCTATGCATAGCTAAGTTATGGAAGCACTGTTGGTGAAATGTAGTAGTTGCCCATTGCTAGCCAAATGAAGACTTCTGATGCAATCAGGAGAGGCTATCCGGTACTGACAGTCTGTGCGGTTTGCTATGTTAGCAAGTCTGCCAAAGGGACCATATATGCCAGTAACATATATTTGCAGTCTCCTGCATCTCACTGCTTTTAAAGCATTCCAAAAATAACAGCTTAATGACTATATTCCTTTCTTATAACCTCTGGGATTAGAAATTGTAATTCATCTTCCTTTCTTGGCTGCCAGATGGTAATGCAATTCCAGGCTGGTGTTTCTGAACAAGCAAGATGTAGAGAGCTGATGTAATCCATAAACATCACCAAAACAATAACTTGCATCTTTATAATAAACACATCTTGTAAATACAATATTCCTAAATGACCTTTCAACAAATATTCCATTAAAAGAGTAAAAATAATGCAGACTTCAACTACAATCTTACAAAAAATTAGCATAGCAATTAAAATATGAAATGAATCAAATCACTAATATCCAATAAAACATTTTACATATAATATTTGAAAAAAATATAAACATTTCTCAACTTCTGAATACAAACACTCACTCAATGTCAAGCTTGTTTAAAATGGTAGGGTAAAGTGAAATGTCTAAATGCAAGGTGCAGTGATTTATATCCCAAAGCCTCATCAGATTATAAATTTCCTCAGCAGACAACAACAAATTGATTGTTCTGTCTCAACTGCCGCTGTATACACGGACATACCTCCATAGATCTTGATCTGTCCAGACACTATGGCCACTTGCCGATTCAGCAGAATACACAAACAGCATATCTCTCAAATAAGACACAGAAGTTAAATCCAATGCAAGTGTACTTCGCAAAGTACAGCACACAAACTATGTTTTTTCAGTCTATGTTAAGTGTAAGAAGACAATGAGATTCTAAGTCTTGCGTCTGCAAGAAAAGTAAAACTAAACTGAAGTAAGACAAGAAAGTAGGGATGGACTAGCTAAAGACTGTACTAACTACCGTAGCACACAAAAAGAGGAGGACAAGGAACCTACTAAATATAAAAATAAACAGGTAGGTATGGCTCTGCACACCACTAGATGTCAGTAGACACCACAGCAATAATAACATACAACACAATAGCAGTAAACATATAATAGATGGAACACAACACTTGATTAGCAACAAATTACAGTTTTTTAAAGGTGCATTATCACTGCACCTTCCATTTTCCTGTTCAGTATAAATTGTGAAAATTGCTAACTTATCTGTTTAAAATCTGGACAAAAACAGCAAGCGCATATCCAATGTTAAGGTAAACCTGACAAGCTTAATCTCCTTAGCATTACATTTAACCCCCGGGGAAAAAAAAAATTTCAACACACATAATAAATTGTGTACTTAAGAACTGAAAATGACTTAAAAACCCAGAACTGCATATATGTCCTTAAAGCAGAGCACCTGATGGCACAAAATGATGGAAGTTCCACAATATTGGTGTAACTGTTTTCAAATCTAATTAATTATATATTAAAAACTAATTTTAGTGCACATACACGCAGTATAAGTAACAGTACAATATTAAAATAGGTGACACTTTTAAAACATTTGCAGTCTATCAGATTATAGCTATCCATAAATGGCTCTAGAATTATTCCTCCCACTCCTTCATGTGTGGCATAACCCAGTATGGGTTATGCAATTGTCATTTACATACGCATGTGGTTCCTATGGGGACAATTGTTTCTATATGTGGGTTCCTTACATCTTCTTTTTTTTTAATATGTTTTATTTAACATTTTGTTAATTAATAAATTATTAGTTTATTAATAATAAGAAATGCTCTTTTAAAGCCACAGACCATGATGGGCTCTTCTCACTTAATACTTATAACCACTCTATGTGTGTGTGGATGTCTGAAAGGACAATGTTTGCAGATCAAATGTAATTGCAACAGTTTAACTGATTACTATTGGCAGGTAGATTAAAACATAGATTTCTAGAAAGATGTTTTGACAGTGAAGCCCTAGACAAGCAGATTGCAAATGTTGGAGGATTTGATAGAGGAATCTTAATGGTGGAATAAATTAGGGTTAACAATAACAGAAACAAATAAGTCTGACTTTGCTGGTATTGTCAGAATGTTTATACTGCTCTGATATACAGTTTTTTGTTTATGGAAACAAATAAGGATCTATAATTAAGGAGATTCCTAACTTATTTCCATAAATCAAAATTTACACGAGTTCTTTCATTTGCGCTGAATTGAAGGCAAGAGGAATACAAAAGTATACAAAATATATATTTATTAATTAAAAATCAGTGCAAAATAACAATAAAAATATAATATAATTGGTGACAAACAAAGAATATGGATCAGATAATATCAATCACTTTGATAACCGAGGTAATGCATAAAATGTAACCACAGGATATTAATTCAAAATATAAACGTAACCAAAATAAAACGACTTTTTAAATGTAATGGGTTGCTTATCAGTATCTCACAGAATAAGAAAACAAAAGGTTCAGAATTGACATGTGACTTCTCCCAGCAACAGATGTTCACAAACTCAAACTTTTAACAGCGCACGGGCAAGATTTGTCCCATCATGCACAGGGTTGGCAATAAGCCAAGACTATATTCAAAGTAAAGAACAATGTCCACCAATTTAATTCAATATATATCAGACTAGACCATTGACTAGAAACTGAAATAATTTTCCTGGAGATTATACAATTGTATTTAACAAGTGTATATATTTATCTCCCAAGATTGAAAGACATAATTTGTACTGCAGTTAAAAATTATCTCAAATCATAATTATTTGTCTGAAAGAAGTCAGCGGTCACAGCTCAGAAACAAGGGATGGTCAGGTTCTCTTTAGTTCAGTTCCCTTTGGACAGCCGTCCTCAGCTTCCGACCTATACCCTTAGAATGTATTTGCTTACTGCATTGTCTTTGTTGGAATTTGGATCTGGACCCTCTCTTGGCTCCTGCCATCTCCTTTACCCCCCTAGAATGTGGGCTTGGTTTGGTCTTCCACGTGATTATTGACGTGACCCATGACGTCAGATATATCATTTTACCCTATACCTTTCCCTCATAATCACCACCAGGGGGCACTATTGTTCTATATAAAAGTTGGGAGCATTTAATTTAATTTTACTATTTTCTAAAGATCGAGTAGAAAGATAACCTCTGACTTAAGCTATGGACAACCCATAAAGATAGTAATGAATAACATCTCATGACAACCTCTTGTCCGACTGGCCGTCTCTTCTTCGATTTACAACCTTAAGATAATCTAAGCCAGGGCACTTAACAATCCTTCTCCAAATACTTTGAAAGTGAGGTAATTAGTTTCAAGACCCAGTGGTTTTCCATACATTAT